TGTCCCAGAGGCTCCTTACACTATCTTCATATTTTTGGATTCTTTTTTCTTTTTGTTTTTCTGGTTGGGTGTTTTTTGCTTCTTCGTATTTCAAATCTTTGACTTGATTCTTGCGATCCTCTAGTCTGCTGTTGGAACTCTGTATAATATTCTTTATTTCAGTCAGTGTATGCTTAATTTCTAGTTGGTCCTTTTTCATAACCTCGAGGGTCTCACTAGATTTCTTGAGGGTCTCACTAAGTTTATCGGCGGTTTCTAGAGAATTCTTGAAAAACCTTAAAAGTGTGGTTTTGAACTCTATATCCAGTATTTTGCTTTCCTCCATTTCTGTCATTTGTGACCTGTTTCTTTGTCTCCACATTTTTTATGCTTCCCTGTGTTGATAGAGTGGTTTTCTGTGCTAGGTGATCATACTTCTGGGAATATATCCTAAGAATCCCGAAACACCAATCAGAAAGACTATATGCACTCCTATGTTCATAGCAGCGCTATTTACAATAGCTAAGATCTGGAAACAGTCCAAGTGCCCTTCAGTAGATGAGTGGATAAAAAAGCTGTGGTACATTTACACAATAGAATACCATGCACCTATAAAAAAAGAAAGATCTCTTACCTTTGAGATAGCATGGGGGGACCTGGAGTATATTATGCTAAGCGAAATAAGCCAGTCAGAGATCCCATAATCTCACTTATATGTGGAAACTAATGAATAAAATAAACCAATGAACAAAATAGGTCTAGAGGCATGGAAGCATGACACAGAATGACAGATCTGAGGGAAGGGGGAGAGGGACTGGAAGAGAATAACCAAAAATCTTATATGTACATATAGAAGTTCAGGCATTGTGCTAAACAAGTGATTTATTTTACATGAGATTCTTATCAAAATGATGACAGATAGATAACAGATGTTCTATCTTATAGGAGAGGACACTCAGCTGAGGATAATGACTGAGAGTATTCATTCTCAGAGAAACCTACTAAGTTTACAAAAACACACCTCTTTGCCATCAGGCCAGCCACTAGCTGCACATTGTTCTTTGTTCTAAAGAATAATCAGGCACAGAACAGAATTGTGCTGTGGTTAAAAATACCTTTGTCAAACTGGGTTCCCAGCCTTAGGTGATGGCTGCAGGCAAATCATTTCACCTCACTGAGCCAAGGTGTCCTCAAAATAGGCAGATTCGACAGAACTTGGCTGGAGAACCTAACGAGAGAACATGGCTAGAGAACCTGGACAGAACTTGGCTGGAGATCCTGGCTAGAGATCCTGGCTAGGCTGCTGATCAACTGAACACTGTCTCCGTGTCCTTCATTCTTCGCCGACTCCGTCCACACTTTGGGGAACTCTCACTGAGCCAAGGTGTCCTCAAAATAGGCAGATTCGACAGAACTTGGCTGGAGAACCTAACGAGAGAACATGGCTAGAGAACCTGGACAGAACTTGGCTGGAGATCCTGGCTAGAGATCCTGGCTAGGCTGCTGATCAACTGAACACTGTCTCCGTGTCCTTCATTCTTCGCCGACTCCGTCCACACTTTGGGGAACTCCTGGACCTGCTGGGGCTGGCCCCCAACAGTTGAGCATTGAGGAGGTCACAACAGTTCAATTCCTGGTCAGGGCATAAAAAAAAAAAAAAAAAAAAAAAAAGAGGCCGATCTGCCGCTGGGTGTCGGTGCAGAGGAATTCCTCCAGCAGAAAGGCAAAAAAAAAAAAAAAAAAAAAAAAAAAAGGCAGATTCAACTACAGCCATTAGACGATCAAGAGCCCTAACTTGTTACAATTTTTCCTCCATGGTCCTTAGCTTTGAAAGACTTTGCCTGTGTTAAGAAACTATTTTTTCTATTTTTTATTAATTAAATACATTTTTGTTTCTGATTAGCATAAGATAACCATGGTTGTCACCCTGAGTTCATACGTCAGCCAAAAGAAAAAGAAAAAGAAAGAAAAACACACCAAAATTTTATTTAACATGTACAGACTTAAGTAGCTATGTGATTTCTGTTAAAACATTTGAAATATTGAAAATTGTTTATGAATTTCTAGAGGTTTGGAGAACACAGGCTTGACACCACAGAAATGGCTGATTTTCAAGGTTATTCCTTCTAACACTGTATGATTCTCTGAAGATAAGGTTTCCTGTAGGTGCAATCCTGACATAGATTGTAGAAACTTGTACTACAGCAATCATAACTGGTTTGACTTAGGCTTGAGTCTGTGGGATAATATCAACAATATCTCTGTTTCTTTACTTTAGCCCAGAGATAAAGAATGAAAAGTGAAAATAGAGTTCATGAAAATGAAGTTTATGTGATCACACTGCTTGAGATCTAGAGCCTAGTTCAAAGAGTCAGAGCACAAATTAGTCGGTCTCTGAGGCCAGATTCTTGGACCTATCATGAGTGATAAATGATCACTACACTTGAGCCAGTGTTGGGGTCCAACCCCAGCAGGTCCAGGGGTCCCCAAAGGTGTGGACGGAGTCGGCGAAGATAATATCAACAATATCTCTGTTTCTTTACTTTAGCCCAGAGATAAAGAATGAAAAGTGAAAATAGAGTTCATGAAAATGAAGTTTATGTGATCACACTGCTTGAGATCTAGAGCCTAGTTCAAAGAGTCAGAGCACAAATTAGTCGGTCTCTGAGGCCAGATTCTTGGACCTATCATGAGTGATAAATGATCACTACACTTGAGCCAGATAGATTTTTCAAAAGAATTATTTATTTTTAATGAGTTAGATAATGGAACATTATATAACAACTAGAGGCTCAGTGCACAAAATTCATGCATTGGTAGGGTCCCTAGCAGCCGCCAGCTGCTGGCCAGGTACTCCCTCCCTTCCCCTGGCAGGCCTGCCCCTGGTCAAACTCCCGGATGAACTCTGGTTGAGGGGACAATTTGCATACAATGCTTTTATTATGGAGGATGGGGAAGAAAACTTCTATTAAGTGTGAATCTCAGTAAAGTGAAAAGAGTCAGACATGAGAGCATACTATATCATTCTATATACAGGAAGTTCAAAACAGGCAAAACTAAGCTGACAGTTTATGCTCAAAATGTTTAGTGTTTTCAATAATAATTATGTTGCTAGTCTTAGTATTGTTATTTTGAGACTGTATGTGATATGGGATAGAACAACAGTAATTATGGGATTTTTAAATTTTGTTATCTCTTAAGAATCAGGATTACTAAAGTATAAAAGGAGATTCAGATATAATATAAAATTTAAGTTAAAAACTCTGTAGTATTGAATTGGAAATATCAAGACAATATATCTATATATCTATATCTAATTTAAAAGAAGTTACTGTGGAAACATGTAATTTCAAATCTTGCCATTGCCCAGCAACCATAATCTTATTACATACATTTTGACAATTAAAACATCCCGTGTACTGGCTGAGTTTAACAATCTCATCTATTAAATTTGGCCTTCCTGTGCTCACGATGTGACATCTTGCCAGATGTATATCAGCCTTCCTCTCAATCTCACAGTGGTCAAAAGCATGTTTATCAGAGCTAGAGAGTCCTGAAATAAAAGAAGGTGGAAACCCAGGTCGAAGGGAGTCTCTTCCATGACCAACAGTCATATTTTAGTATTGAATGAGAAAGCAATTCCAAAAAATCAATCAGGAATGACACCAGTCTACCACATAGATTAGCTATCCTATAGAAAAGGTAACAAGTGTTTAAGAAACTCTAAACTAAGTGTTTAAAAAACTCAAGCAGATAGTGTGATGAGGTAAAAGGTAACTAAAATTATGCTCAAAAAACCAGGTTTGAAGCAATACCAAAGCATAACTTCAAATGACATAGCTCTGCTGGGAACACTGCATCTGGCAGACACTGTCACCACAAAAACAAAAGGCAGGGGTAGATGACCCAGGTGTCTCAGGGCAGTCTACACATAAAAAGACAGGGTTTGGGGGAAGATATGTGCTACAAAACAAGCATGACAGGCATCCAGAATTATCAGTTGTACACAGATTTATCACACCATTATCTATCTGCTTCTTGACACTCAGCCTCAAATAATTAGGAACTGGAGGGCAATGGTGAAACAAGATTTGGTTCCTGCACCAGAACAATGCAGGATACGACAACTGGAGGCAGGGTAGGAAATAAGACCATCTTCCTTAATCGGAATTTTACTTTACAAAGGGTATGCAAGGATAAAAATTTTCCTAGTACAGTGGTACTCAACCTCAGCATTCTAGTGTTCTGTTAAGAAAACGAATAATACAGAAAAATATTTATATCAATGGATAGTTATTTCCTTGATTTGCTTTAATTACAGAACCTCTTAACCCCCAACTCCTAACCCCATCATGAATAATCTTGCTTAATACAAGTTAAGTCTATAAATAAGTTTGTCATTTCTCCTCAAAAAAAGAAAACACCAAAAAAAACCACTTCAGTAATTTTTCAAGAATTATTTACAAAATTTACCTAGAGAAATTAAAGTTTCAAAAAAGAGGAACAACTGTAATAATCTGAACAATAAAGATTTAATTAAAAAAAAGTAAAAAAAGGAGTTGAGCTTTTTTGGAGGAAGCTAGGAGAACAAAAGAAAGACTAGAAATGACATAAAAAACGACTTCAGGCTTAATGTTCAGGATCAGTCAAAAGGAGAATAAATTCACTTTTATTTCTTATGCAACTATTAATATTAAATATACTTGAAATTCAAAATAATGAAGCTGATGTTATAAACAAAAGAAAGCTGCATTAAGACACCCTTTCTGCCATTAGCACGGTGCATGTGAACTTACATATGATACACCTCTCTTAAGTGGTTCACTGTTAATGAAGCAGGACACATTAAAAGGATCAATGTGAGCATATACATACCACAGGCTGTTTTGTGATGTCCACCAAGTCCTTAAGATTATAATACTGATGTTTCTCAAAAGCCGAAAATAGCATGTCTAAAACATATTGTTTATCAGCTCGAGCTCGTTTTCCATCTTCTTTCTTTTTCCTTTCATATTCAACATTGTATTGATGATTGGCAACAGGTTTGTAATTGGTTGTCACAACTTTGTCCAGTTGTTGTGATAGCCGTACAGGTTTAGAAGATTCTATTTGCAGTCTCTTTAATCTCATGTAGTTTTCACTTGCAGCAGGTCGGCATTCAGCTCTTTGTACCACTATTCCTTCCAATGAAAGCTTACCTGATGAGCTCTCAGTAAATACTGTTAATGTTTGTCCTCCAACACTTTGCAAGACAAATGGGTGTTCTCTAGGAGCGCTGACTGAAGCTGGTTTTCCACCAATATCATGAATATTTGCAAGATCCTCATTCAAAGTAAATGACACCCCAGTCCTTCCTTGATTCTTGGCAATCCGCAGTTTCCCGACTTCACCTCTTCCAGGGGCTTTAGCCCACTGCTGTGACAAATATTTAGGAACCTTGACCAGCCACACTCTGGTGTTCTGCTTGGCGCCGGTCAGGTCGAGTTCCCCACGCTCGGCCATGGGTCTGTTGCCGGAAGAGGAGTGCGACCCAAAGCAGGGCTCGGGTGCTGGGGGCTGGGTGCTCGGGTGCTGGGACTGGGGGCGAGTGTCCGGAGCACGACGCGAGCCGCGGAGAGAGGCCGACGCTTCGGCGCCCAGCTGCCAGGTAAAATTACAGAATTAATCCTCTTTTCTTTTTAGACTTAGCTTGAAAACTCACTAGAAATCATATTACCATTTTTAGAACTAGACAGACTTACACAGTAAAAGCACATACTTTAGACAAACAAACTTAATCCTACACTACAGATACTTTACAAGGGAAATTTTGATCAAAGCTAGAACTTTAACTGCGTGATAGCAGGCATTCAAACGCAAATTGACCATATTGTCTCTTGCCGGGCCTGAGTTGAGTCGTGCCCTCGCCGGGGCGGGAAAGTCTTTCTTTGGGAATTGCTCTGGGCTACACCCCCATCCCAGAAAGCACGGAGCCACCGGCCGGTGCGCGCCGGAAGGGAGGCTCCCGCGGCCACTGGGAGAGGAGGCCGGCGTGCGTGCGCGAGACGGGGAAGGCGCGGGGAATTCAAACCTTCCCGCCCGGGTTTGGGAGTGCTGACGAGTCATGAATGAAGTTTAAGAGATCAAGAATTTGTGACTACATTTAACAGAGAAATCTCGGGCCTTTGGCATAGCTTTAAGCATCTGCTAGTAGAGCTCTCTCTCTCCTGAGACCCGGAAATTACCCATTTTTACACCCAGTTAAATTATATTTCCAAACAATACACTCCTAAAACGCCCTTAAGGTACTGTGGCGGCCGCAATTACTCTGGAGTGATCCCTAATGACATGCCTAACCTCCTTGCTTTTCAGCCCCCCCCCCCCCCCCCCTGTGCCCCTCGTTGGGCGCCAGAATATAAAGCACGTGGTTTACCTGGGGCTGTTTTCTCTCCACGCCCCCCACGGAGAAGGAGACTTGAACCCGTTCCTGCAATCTGGGAGGCGCTATTGGGATTGAGAAATAATGAAAGACAGACATAAAATAGATCAAAAGCTGGGCCTGGGTGGGCTTCTGTCCTCTTTGGCGAGAGGCAGAAAGACCAAGTCCCAAAGCAGCGTGTTTATTTTATAGTCCCAATGACAGGAAGTTACGTCACATCTGGGTGGGACTTCGACATCATGAGATCCACCCTCTTAACACTGGGCGGGATAGTCAAACTGGGTGGTGCCCAATCTTTTGACTGGTCACGCCCCCAAGGGAGTGGCTCTGCCTGCTCCCTGGGTCCAGCTGACATAAATTAAACCAAGTGTATTCTGATGGCCCTCAACAATCACCAAGTCAAATGATAGTTCAATTCGCCTTCTCAATCTTCATCTTGCACACTTCAGGAGCCAAGACCACCATGGAAAACCAGGAGCAAGTAACCCACACCTGGGACCCAGGTTATTATGTGGCTGTTACTAGGCAGTTTGTCCTCCCTATTGGTTTTTAATATAGTTTTTTTAAAAGTATAAACTTAATGTTTATTTATTCTTTTGATGGTTGAAGGAGGAAGTATATAAGAAAGTGGGATAGGAACTATGAGTGGGAACATTAATCAAGCATCCAATAAGGGAAATTAGAAATCAGAGGCAAAGAAAGAGAATCTCAGTTTTTCTGAACCCAATAAAGGTGGAAACTGATAGGTCAGTGAGAATCCAGTGTTATTTTAGAAAAGCAATCTGGTTGTTGGGGGACAAAGCTGCTTCTTTGGTGATGAGGGTGGGGGTTGAAATATGTGGTATTGTCTCCCAGCATTGGCTGTTGTTTCATGGCAGTTTATATGAATAGTAGAATTCAATGTTTCTTTAAATACACAAGGTTTATTTTTTTAATGAATTCTACGTTTCTAATGATATAACTTCTGAATCAATTTAAGTGCTTTGTAAAGTTAGCTTTTTAATCTGTTAAGTTTATAGCCGATTTGTGATTGTAGTATTGGTAAATAATCTAGATTTCTAGCCTAGATCCATAGGTCCACGGATTTCTTTCTTTTAGGTTTTGTAGAGAAGGCTGCTCCTCTTTTTGGCATATTTGTGTATGCTAATGTCAAAGGAGACTTTTTGAATAATACTTAGCTATAAAAATAATATAATAACATGTAAATAATATATACGAGAGCTCTCATGTATACTGATATGTAGAACCTGTCCCGAAGAGGTGGTGAGGTGACAGGAGGCAGGACTGTGCATAAGTTTCCAGGATTCCAGCACAGGCTTCTTCACACATAAAACACAAACTCACAATAATATTATTAAGAACTTTAAGATGACAACCTCAGTATCAAACTTCAAGCATGGAGCCCTGTATGGCTCCATGTTCATGAAGTTGACCCTGCTAATTACATTAAAGGAATTTTCTCCAATGTAAATGATGAGGGGTCACATTCCTTATGTGTTCCTGTTGTGTAACTTATCTTGTGCAAAATGGAAGGCTCATTCACATTGGTGATATTTACAGTATTTATCTCTATTACCTAAGGAGAGAGAAATTGTCCCATACTCATTGTTACATTCATAAGATTTCTGTCCACTGTGAACGGTCTTTTGTTACCTAAGGGATGAAAGAGCAATAAATGCCTTTCAGCACTCATTGTGTTCATAGGGATTCTCCCCACTGAGTATTCTCTTATTCATGGTAAGTTAAGAACTACAGCAGAAAGATTTTCTATTCTGGTTACACTCATAGGGCTTTTCTCTGGTATGGTTTGTCATGTTTCCTAAGGGTGAAGTAACACTCAAGGCTTTCCCAAAGTTACTGAGTTCCATTTTTTATTCTGTTGTATACAGTAAGGGAAAAACTTCTTCTGAAGGATTTTCTCTATTAATTACAATAATGGGATTTTCTCCAGTGTGAGTTCTCATGTGCATATCAAATGAGATCCCTTCCACTCTCTTTAAAAAAAAAGGTTAGTTGCAATGTGAAATCTGAGACCATATCAGTGAACTTTTCTTACCCCGTAACATAAAAAACTAATGGTCTCTCTTCTTTTACCCACACATAATTCTGTAGCCTGGCATTGTAAAATTGCAGTGCATTGGCCATTTGGAAAATATTAGTTCATTGAGTTAGGCAGACCTTCCACAAACCGACATATTTTACTATGCATTGTCCAAAAATCATAATTGTTAATATCACCACTGATCTCAACAGGAAGTGTTGGGATGGTGTCAAATTTATTTTAGCTGATACAGCTCTTCTAAAATTTTATTTTTTGTCTACAAACTGGATTTTACCATTAGCAATAAAGTATGTCAGTTGTTTTATATAAAATTATAGAGTCACTTTATTCATTTCTGAGAATATTTGGTAAATACCTAACTTTGAATAATTATTGTTTGTATTTCAGTTGTTCTTTCAAGTACAAATGGTGTTTCATGAAAAAGTGGCTAATTCACCTTGCAACAAATTGCACAAAGGCTTGTCCTTGAGACAATCACTAAACTTCAGCACATAGCAGAAATGCTTTATTTGCACACAGAATGTTAAAAAGAAGGGTACTCAAGGATTGAGATTTAATAAAATGATAATTTTTTATTGCTTCATCAAAGATATTTTCAGGTTAATTGCTGAGAGATTTGCCTGGCCCTCCCAGTGTGATCACCTGGAACTCATTTCTGAAAAATTGTGCTGAAGAGTAAAAGGATGAATGCCCAATTGCCAGGCTGTCTCCATGCTTTTAAGGAATCTTGTTATTTTATTTTTAACGTTCCTTTTTGTGAACCACTGTAGTCTTCCCCAAAGCCCTGAAAGTACTAGCAGGCTTATTTGCTCAAATAACTATTTTGGGGTCATTTGCATCAAGTGGGAGGCACATAGTAGTTCAGGAGGGGAAAGGGTCTTAGAATATAAGACAAAATGAGAAGAAAAGTTCCTTTTCAGAAAAAAGAACCAGCAGTTTAAGGTCAGTGAGGGAGTTGTAATAGACTGTTGAACACATTTCTGTTATCTGTTTGGAGAGAGGTAAATTGAGTCACTGCAAGATAATTGAGTCAGAAAGACCTAACACCTTGGAACTCAGGCCTGTGGATTAGGAGAGGCAGTGAGTTACAGATGGAGGTTAGATCAGTGTGTGCTCCTAATTTTTGCTGCGCTCTGGCATGGAGTTATCCTTGGTGAAGTTAGAGCTGTATAACTCTGTATGAGGGAGTGAGATTAATTGAAATTTCTTATGTTCTTACATTTTAGTATAGTAAAGCTTGCGTATTCTCTAAATCAAACAAGTTCCTCTAGAGATCTCAGAGAAGCTTCAAGGAAGAGTCTTGCTATCACCTGAGAACAAAGCAATCTTGCTCTGGAACTTGAAGCAGAAGGATTTAAGCTTGACATTATCCCCTAGCATCTCCCCTCCCCGCCAACTCCCATCTGCAACCCATAGGCGTCCAGAAATTAAGAGCTGTTGCTCTTTCTCACAATAGGGTAATGATGTCCTCTCTAAGTGATAACTTCTGGTTTATAATCAGAGACCATTCAAATTGCAAGGGATAGTTGTCTTTCTGGATCTTGGGTTGGTATCTCCTGATTAGGGGCTAAATGCTGGTTTATACTGACCCTTTTCCTAAATAAATTGGTGTGTTTTTTTCTGCAGTATTTTTTTCCTTTTGGGGTACCAGAAGAAGAAGACTGGCAAGTAGATTTATTCTAAAGAGGAAGACAAGAACTCTAAAGGATCGGTCTATGAAAAATGTCTGTCAGCCTGTTTTCTTGTTCTCTGAGCCAGCTGAATGGTAGTGGGCATTTGTTTCCTACCTCGAATTTTTGTTATCCCTCTATTACCTACAGCACATTTATACAGAAATCTATATAGAAGTAAATGATTATATATAAATGAAAATGTTTGCCTTTTTTGCCATAGGTGTTTTTGATATGTTTTTCATATATTAATTTTTCTTTCATTTCAGGCTAATTGGCCTCCTTTTTAATCACAGGGGTATTAATACAATGGTTTTTTGACTTGGTTCTTGTCCTTCATGATGATAGCATTGTGTGCAGCCAATCTGGAATTAGCTGATTGGAAGGTCAGACTTCACTTACTTTCCTCCTGCTCTCAAAGTATACAGTTTTGTCTCTTTTTTCTCCTGGTGGTTGCCCCATCCTGTGGCCACTGACCTATGCAACCAGGAAGTATAGACAGATCAAGAGACTACACAAATGGGAGAAATCCTGCTCCATGTGGCTCTGCCTCTCCGTCTGGCAACTCTTCCATGGTGCACTGTCTACGTATTAGTCCCCTCTCCTTGGAGTTCCTCAGGTTCACACTACTCTTTTGGGACAAGGTACAGTGAATGCTCGTAGATACTCATGATTTTGAGCTGTGATTTTGGAGCTAATAGAGATATGTAAGGTTGGGAGGGTCAATCTTGGAGAAAGGGAAACCAAGCACAGTATTGTAGTTAAGAACTCAGGCCTTAGAATGAAATAGACTTCAGTTTGAATCCAAACTTGACCACTTACTGCTCTGTGACCCCTTACAGATGTGTCATTGTGGTATCTGTCCTTCACATCTCAGCCCTATGCCACCTTTCCAATCTCATCTCCTGCCACATCCTTCTCATTGTCTACTCCACCCCCACCCCCCACCCCAACACTTGTATTTTAACCAGATAGAACTGCCTGGGAGTTCGTTAAAAAGTATATCATCTGGCCCCATCCCAGCCCTAATTACTAGAATTTGCACTTTATGAAGTGTGCATTAATGTTTAAGAAGTGCAGGCCTAAGCTACTTCCTAGAACTTCGATTCCTGGAAGAAACTATGTCACAGTATACTGTTGAGTATACGTGAATGTCCTCTGGAAAAGTATGACATACTTTGCAATTTGAAGTATTCTTTGAATTATTCTATGAATTAGTCCCAATTAAACAGTGTCCAAAATAAGAAATCCTTGAGCAGCTAGCTTCCTTGGTCCCTTCATTTCCAACCCTTTGAAATTCATCCTGCTCTGCTCTACTGGTTTTCTGGGAGTTTTCTTCTGAATCCAGAGAAAGCCTCGGCACCAGGGAGAAGTTTTAGCAGACTCAATCAAATGCCTGCTATGTATGATGAGATAGTGAGTGCTAGGTACAGGATGAGACATAGAAATTGAAAGACTGTCTGGCTCTCAGGAAATTTTTTTATTTAGTTGGAAAGACACAGTCATAATAAAACAATTTATGCCTCTTGTCATCTACCATCACCTTCTCTGATCCATTACAATAATTATGTGATGTTGGTAGGGAAGGATTACTGCCTTTTTTTTTTTTTTTAAAGAGATCAG